AAGCAATGATATTCCAATAGCAATGAGCACACACAGTACCCAGATGGTGGTTTCTAATACTGTTCTCCAGTAAAAGGAATCAGTGCTCCTTGGAAAAAAAGGCAGATTCTAGGCCTGTGTAGGTAACATACAAGGTGAGCCTAGGCATCCTGTAATACAAATAAACAAAAAAACAAAAATCTCAAAAGTCAAAGGAATATAGGAACCAACTAAAAGAGTTCCCAATGGCCAAAGCTGAAACAATTTGAGCAACAAAATTAATGAAGTACTATTGGATTTACCCCTAAGTATAAAATAAATATACATGAGTCAATACTGATATAAATAAATGACTGAATAAATGGGGAGAAGAGACAAAAAAAAAAAAAACCTTACAGAAGACTTTTCAAAAATGTATGTAGACACTCCACCCTTAAAGAGGTAGAGCATAATTCCTCACTCCCCAATTGTGTGCTTCACAGAGAGACTTTCTTCTAAAAAGTACAATATACAAAAGGAGAGGGGAAAGAGTAATTTCACAGTGGACAAAGCTGGCAAACACTACCTCAACCCAGGTAATTGAGGTTAATATCAATGGTACTAAGTTATATTAACAGTTTGTATTCTTGACCGAGTACAGTGGCACACACCTGTATCCAACACTTTGGGAAGCTGAGGTGGGTGGATCACCTGAGGTTGGGAGTTCAAGACCAGCCTGGGCAACATGGTGAAACCCCGTCTCTACTAAAAATACAAAAATTAGCCAGGCGTGGTGGCATGCACCTGTAGTCCCAGCTATTTGGGAGGCTAAGACAGGAGAATCGCTGGAACCGGGAAGTGGAGGTTGCAGTGAGCCAAGATCGTGTTACTGAATTCCAGCCTGGGTAACAGAGTGAGACTATCTCAAAAAAATAAAAAACTCTGTATTCTTGATATGATGTGATGGGAATAGCACTTCTATGACCTTCCTCCCTCTCACCTAGTTTAATCATGAGAAAAACATCAAACAAGCACCGGCTGAGGGACAATCTACAAAATACCTGACCAGGCAGTAATCTTCAAAACTATTAACTTGTCATCAAAAACAAAAAAATCTGAGAAACGTCAAAACTTAGAGGATACATGACCACTAACGGTAATATGCTATCCTGGACGGGATCCCTGAACAGAAAAATTCAGGGGAAAAGTGAGGTAATCTGAATAAAATACGAACTTTAATAATTATGTGTCATTATTGGTTCACTGTGACAAATGTACTATGCTAATGTAATATGTATTTGTTTTTTTGAAATGGAGTCTCACTCTGACATACAGGATGGAATACCATCATGGCATGATCTCGGCTCACTGCAACTTCCACCTTCTGGGCTAAAGTGATCCTCCCATCTCAGCCTCCCGAGGAGCTGAGACCACAGACCAGCACCATCATGCCCAGCTAATTTTTCATATTTTGGGTAGAGATGGGGTTTCACCGTGTTGCCCAGACTGGTCTTGAACTCCTGAGCTCAAGCAATTCACCTGCCTTGGCTTCCCAAAGTGCTAGGATTACCAGTGTGAGCCACTGTGCATAGCCTAATATATTATAATGGGAAAAGTGGGTATGGGAAGCTCTATCTTCACAATAATTCTGAAAAAATTAAACCATCCAAAATTAAAAGGGTCTATTACAAAATAATCTAAGAATACTGTGCCATATTTTATGTAACTATTAATAACACAGCTTTTTTTTTTTTTTTGAGACAGTCTCGCTCTGTTGCCCAGGCTGGAGTGCAGAGGCATGATCTCTGCTCACTGCAACCTTTGCTTCCCAGGTTCAAGCAATCTTCCACCTTAGCCTCCCAAGTAGCTGGGATTACAGGTGTACATCACTACACCCAGCTAATTTGCATATTTATATTTTTTAATAGAGGCAGGGTTTCACCATGTTGGCCAGGCTGGTCTTGAACTCCCAACCTCAAGTGATCCACCCACCTTTGCCACCCAAAGTGCTGGGATTACAGGTGTGAGCCACCGTGCCCAGCCTACTAATTTATTTACTTACAGTTGAAAAAAAAACAGTCTGACTGAAATTTTAATTACAGGTTGATTATCCCTTTTCCAAAATGCTTGAGACTAGAAGTGTTTTGGATTTCAGATTTTTTTGGAGTTTGGAATATTTGCATATACATAATGAGGTATCTCCAGGAAGGGACTAAACACAAAATTCATTTACATTTCATATACACCTTATACACATAGCCTGAAGGTAATTTTACGATACTTTTAATAATTTTTTGCATGAAACAATGTTTGTGTACCTGTACCATCCAAAAGCAAAGGTGACACTATCTCAGCCACTCATGTGAACAATCTGTGGTGGTTTGACATCCCCATCATTTCTGTCTCTGAATTTATATGCTACAATAAGCAATCATCTCTTACACATACACATAGCATTGTATTACCCTTTGTGGGCATGCTTGCGTAGGCACACCTGGGTGTGTGAGGAAAAGATACATGGCAGCTGAAGCGGGTTAGGAGGCAAGTCTTTTTTCTCTTGGGTAAACTGTTGTACACCTGCACTCTGACTTTAATTCATCACATAAAGTAAGATGTGGAATTATGTATTTGTAGCATCTTGTTGGGCTCCAAAAAGTTTCAAATTTTGCAGCATTTGGATTTCAAGTTTTTGGATTAGGAATGCTCAAACTGTACTATAACACTATTTTGATAAAAATTCACATTCAAATTCTTGTGTTATAAAACTCAATGAACTGAAATCCTTAATATCATCAATTGGGAAATTTAATGAGTCAAATTTAGGTGTCAGGCACTGAACTAGGTCCTAGAAATTCAACAATGAGCCAAAAAAGAAAACAAGATATGGACCCTACCATCACGAAGTTTATAGGTCACTGAACGAAAGACAATCTTACAGTCACACGATTAAATGTAAATTGCAACTGTGGAAAATGTATGATGCTATTACCTTAATGTGGGAGGATAGCATATTCTCTAAGGATGCAAAACTTCAGCTGAGGTATGAAGGATGACTAGGAACTAACAAGTGAAATAAAATGAAAGTAAAGAAATAATGGTCCAGAAAAAGGCATGTACAAAAGCTTGCGAAAAGGCAGGGAGCAAGACGCATACAAAGAACTAACCAAGGCCAGCATAGTTGAACTGGAGAGTTATGCAGAACATGGTACAAGATGAGTTTGGAGAGCTAAACATTGTTAAGCAGTTTTATTTTGATTCTAGAAGCAATGGGAAGTCATAAAAGGACTGGGGGAGGAAGAAAGAGTGACAATCCAATGTGTGTTCCAAAATAAATCACTGTGCCTTCAGGAAGGGTAATGAATTAGAGAGGGGCCAAAATAGAAGTGGACAGATAAGAATGGAGGCTACTGTAAAAGTTTCAGGCAAGATGATGGTAATAAACTGAAGTGGCAGTAGTGGAAACAGGAAGAAATAGAAAAATTCAAGTGACATGAAGAAGTAAAATTTTAAAAACTTGTTGATAAATTGGATCTATCAGGAAGTGGGAATTAAGGATCACTTCTAGTTTTCTGGAGTTTACGATGAAAAGATAATGGTGTCATTCACTGAAAAAAGGAACAAAGGAAGAGCCAATATTGTGCAGTTTTGTAGGGAGGGAAGGGGAAATCCGTTTCATTTTACACATACTGGATTTGAGATACCTTTAAGATATTCAAGAGAGGATGTCAACAAGACCGTAGGACATACAGATCTAGAGCTCAAAGGAGACATAAAACACTCATGCCCTTAATGAAGCCGACATCTTTATCCTAGAAAAGCAGCTAACTATAATCCCCAAATATCCAAGAAAAACATCAGACTTAGACTTTGAACATCTGGATTTAGTTAAAACAAAAAGCTTAGAGAGAACAGAGCAATAATATTTCATCAGCTAAAACAAAAACTGCAAGGCCCTACGGGTAACAGATTTTTAAACTCTTGGCTCAACAACATAGGAATTATGCATCATATCACATCAGGTCGCATTTTAAAGTTTTAGCAGGGCTGGCCAGTGTTGGAAATGTTCTAAATTTGCACTGTTCAATAAAGTAGCCACTAGCCACATATGACACTGACACTGAAATGTGGCTGGTACAATTGAGGAAGAGAATCTTTTGTTGTATTTAATTTTAACTAACTTAAATAGCCACATGTGGCTAGTGCCCCTGGTATTAGACAGTGCAGGTTTACGGCTTCCTTACAGATTTCCTCTGAATCCCCAATACCTACTTTTCTTTTTTTTTTTTTTATTATTAACACCCTACTTTTCAAATTAACTGGGAGAGAGGTGGAGAGATTACAGGAGTAGAAAAAAAATCCTTTCCATTTTCTACTTATTACTTGAATCTTTATTTCAAGAATTTATAATACTTAGGCTCAGTGCAGTGGCTCATGCCTGTTATCCCAGCACTTTGGGAGGCCAAGGCGGAAGGATCGCTTGAGCCCAGGAGTTCAAGACCAGCCTGGGCAATATATAGCAGTGAAACAAAACAGATAAGTTCTGGCCATTTTAGTGATTACAGACCACAGGCTTAAACCCAGGGACTCTTTCCACTGGGGGTTTAAATTCCTGATTCATCCCTTTTTAGGTGTGTGACCCTGGACAAAGCACTTTACCTAAATATCAATTTCTTTATTTCTAACATGGTGATATTATCTGCTCTACCTATTTGGTACGGCTGGAGAAAAAATAAAATGAGGATATATGTGAAAGTACTTTGTAAATTATTACATGCTAAACAAACATTAGGTATTAAACAGAGTAACATACTCCTTTCCTCTAAGGCAAAGTTTTCCAACCAGTGTGCCAAGAATGGATTACACATGTGCTGAAATTGTGACCAATTCCCTCACTTCATAGCTTTCAGGGAACCAGGGAGGGCCTGGCTCTAGTCTGCCATACAATTATAATCATTTTTTATTTGTGCTATGATGACTATCTCAAGCTAGCAGAAACTGAAGTTGGTGAACTGACTCCCCCATCTGGATGATTTAGGGCTTACCACTAACTCTGCTGCTTTTATGATCCTGTTCCAAAGGCAGTGTGTCACTGTTCCCCAGGGACGAATGAGGCTGGAGCTTGAACATCAAGGAGCTGCTAGCCCAATGCTATCACAGATACACAAAAATAAAATATAAATTCTTATCTTAGGTGAGAACATGGCAAAGACACTGCCCTATTTTCACAAAAGATTTGAGCAATTGCCTGTTTTGCAACTACCTTCAGAGCCGCAAATCTCTGTCTTTCCAAGAGAGGATCTGATTTTTTCCAAACACCCAAAGTTATTCAGATTCTGGTGACTGAGGTGAAGTGATGAAGCCAGGCAAGAACTTTTCATTTTTGTATGTCTCAATCTGAACTGCCAGTCATTCTAGAAGTAGATTTCAAAGCAGATTGCCTACTCTGAAGAACAGCATTCACTCAAATAAGTATGCTTGTTAAGGGGAAAAAAATGTACTTAATAAAGAGACTATATTTGTTTTTCAGGTATCAACTAAAGGTTTAAGCAACATCTGCCTATGTCCATCCTAAGACAAAGGTTTAGAAGGAATGGAGGAGAATGGAATGAGAGATAGAGGAAGAGAAGGATAGGAATAAAGAAAAGAGGAAAAGAAAATATATACTTTTGTCTCATAAAGAATATCTGATAATCTGCAAGAGCCATTCGGTGGCTTTCATGACTGCCAAAAGCTAGTAGAGATCAAGGAAAACAAAATTATTTTCAGACCAGCAGTCATTTTCATACATCCAGAACTAGTGCTACATATCTGACTTTTAGACTGCCATGGTCCTAAGTCATCAACTTCCATATTAAGTGGAACAACTCACTTTCCATTCTGCACAAATATTTTGGTTTTTCATCCATAGCCATATTAAAGTTTCCGGTTTAATTTCCTTCTTCCATTCTGTATTCTTTCCTCCATCCCAATTTTATTATTCTAAAATTGATTTATATTTCCAGACTCTTATAATGCCCAGTTTATTACTTACAATCTTCATTTTTACATTTTCCACTCCTCATATACACACATACACACCATCTGCTTATTATTTGAATCTTTATTTCAAGAATTTATAATACTTTCATTTCAAGAATGTGTGTGTGTTCTAATACATACACACACACACACACACACACACACACCCCAGACTTATATCCATCCCCACAGGAAACCTCTACCAACAGCCTCCTCCAAATTCACTTCTTTTTATCAAACTTCTCAGTATGATATTCAACCAGAATTTCATCCACTGAAGATTAAGTAAGGAAACAACCTTTTTTAAACACCTGATAGAAAATCAGGTGAGATATCTCCTACTTATTCCAAAAAGGACATAATAGACACCTGGTAGAAGCTGTCTATAGTACTAGTCTGGAGTCAGACTACTACCAGGGATTTGAACTAGGTTCAAATCCTCGCTCCACTGGTGCAATTCTGAGCAATCTACTTTAGCTTCAGTTAATCATTCAGTTTTATTTTCTTCATCTACAGAAATCGGGATATTAGCCACTTTATAAGGTTATCACATGAGATCATGAGATAATAATATAAAATACTTAGCTTAATACACATGGTAAGCAAACAAATTTAATTGTTACAGTGTTAGATATAACCTATCTTCTGAATTCATTATTACCTTAAAAGGAAACTAATTTCACATAAACTAGTCTCTCTTTTTTTTTTTTTTTTTTTTTTTTTTTGAGATGGAGTCTCCCTCTGTTGCCCAGGCTGGAGTGAAGTGGTGGAATCTTAGCTCACTGCAGCCTCTGCCTCCTGGGTTCAAGCAATTCACTTGCCTCAGCCTCCCAAGTAGCTGGGACTAAATAAAATTCTAAAGTACATGCCTCAAGCAGAAAAAAAATAAGAAAATGAAAGCAAAGTACAACTAGAATTTAAATTTTTTACTCTGAACTGTGCCTAGTAGGTTGGTGATATTTAATATGTATTAAAGATAAGCACATTAGTTTGTAAATCCACTGGATCTCCAGAGCATTAATCATAAACAACTATCCCTAAAAAGAAACCTCAAAACCACAAATTAGGAACAAAAGTAGGCAGCCTCATTTCCTTCTCTAACTCTACGAAGAAATTTAGAAACACTAACGTTTCAAAGTAGAGATTTCAATATCAAGCTAGAAGAATCACTGTATTCTACTTTCCTTGGTCCCAAAGCAAACAATTTTCATTTTGGGAAAAACACGCACACACACACGCCCCTGTTTTCACTAACTTCAACAAGACACACACACACCTTTCACTAACTTCAAAAAGACACTGCCTAAGCAGTGGTTTTAATCTATCAAGAGACTGTATATCACCTTTGAAGATTTGATAAAAAGAATGGACATTTTCCCCAGGAAGAAAAAAATTCACTCAAACCAGACTTTGTATATAATTTCAGGGGTGGGAATGAGGAAGACCCCTGAAGTTGCTGACCCTTAGGCCATGGACCCCAAGTCATCATCCAGGATTAAGACAAATCATAATCCAAGGAAAACCAATTTATCAATTCGAATAGGAACTAAAATAACTGGGGCAGGAATTTAATCCAGAAAAATACATTTTCTTTTATGTTTTCTCAGATAAACTGTGTTAGACTTGGTGGTTGGGAGGAGACGTGGGTCACGCTAAGCAAGGTAAACAGAACAAAAAAACACCAAAGGAAAAGCATAAGAAAACAGAATTAAAACAGTAGTAAAATACAGTCGACTCTAGCCGCCCTGAGAGAACAGCAATGAAATGGCCAATTTGGCCGCGCGCAGTGACCCACACCTGTAATCCCGCACTTCGGGAAGCCCAGGCGGGCAGATCATTTGAGGCCCTGAGTTGGAGACCAGCCTGGTCAACATGGTGAAACCCCGTCTCTACTAAAAATATAAAAATTAGCCAGGCGGAAGTGGCGCGCGCCTGTAATCCCGGCTAATCGGGAGGCTGAGGCAGGAGAATCGCGTGAGCCTGGGAGGCGGAGGTTGCAGTATGGCGAGATCCTGCCAATGCACTCCAGCCTGGGTGACAGAGTAAGACCCTGTCTCAAAAAAGATGACAGAAAGAAAAGAAATAAAAAAGAAAGAAGGGAATGAAAGAAAAAGAAGAGAGAAAGAGAAAGGAGGAGGGGAAGAGAAAGAGAATTCCTGCAGCCTTAACAGATGGCTGACTTAAGGTAACCATTTCTGGTGCACATTGCTATGCCAATTAAGTTAATTAAATGGCAAACGTGAACACACCCTTGCAGGTGAAAGTATGAAAGCAAAAGTTAGTGCGAAGTGCTGCATCTCTTCCGGCTTTTTCTTAACAATAGGAACCGAGTTAGACGAATTATGTACTTTAGGAGAAAACAGGGTAGGGGCGGTGCACAGAAATCCTAAAAGCGGCAAAAGGATCTGCAGGAAGTGTAAAGCATAAACTTTCTGAAATCAAAGGGCTCTAGAGGAAGATAAGAACAAAACAAAGGAAGTAATAATAAAATGAAGTAAAAGGGAAAAACGTCTAGCGTCTAAAAACTGTTTCTTTAAAAAATTCTTTCCTTTTCCTAGACACGTAAACAGCAGCAACTTGGCAAACAGGAATGGAGCGGAAGACAACCGCACAACTCCCTTTCCAAATCTCCAGCATTTCTTGGACGTCCTCAGATGCGCAGTCAGGCTTGGGACATTTCACAGGCAGGACTCCTTCCTGCACCACTGCCAGATGAACCTCTCAGAGGGACTATCACTGTCTCCCTCCGACTGAGGGAGAGAGGAAGTGGGGGATGCAGCGAGAGGAGGAGAGAAATGAAGGTTGGATACCAAGCCTGAGGTGGCCCACTCCGACACTTTGTCAAGAAAAGTCTGAATTCTGGATCCTGCAACCCTTTTTCCCACCTAGTGTATGCAAAGCGAAGAGAGTGCCACCCTGCAAGGGCCGGTCCTACACCTTCACTCGACTGTTTCGGGAGCACACTCAGAGTGACAGGGACTGAAGGAACAGAAACCAAAGGCAGAATACTTGGGCAGATATGGCACAGACTAAGGAGAGGTGTGCCCTATGAAAGTCGAGAACTGCGAACCCGGAGGCAAAGTGTCTGCCCCGCCAACCACCTCAAACCATCTTTTCCCCGCCTTTTCCCCGGCGAGCCAGCTCCGCCCTCACCTGTCTTAGGGTAACTCGGTAGCGTCTAAGTCGAGGCTTATCCCTGCCGCCGCTCTCTGGAATCGCCTCAACCCTGGCAAGAAGTGAGCGGAAACGCGACCCGGACCTTTTCCTTCTTCCCCTTCCCCCACGCACCTCGGCTCCTCGGGGGCGGGGAGAAACTGCAGCTGTCACAAATTCACACTGACCAACCGCCCAGGACAGCTGGACCTGCGACCTCTCAACCCGGCCTCCAGAACCAGCACCAAGAGCAGCGAAGCCGGAAGTGAGGAGACCGGAAGTAGCGTTGTCCCTGGCCCTGGACGGCCTCTCTCTCCCTCAATCTGGCCTTGCCTAGCCACGTCTCGGTGGTGCCAGCGCACCTCCCACGAGGCTCCCTCCGCCCCTCTCGGGGAGGCGGTCCACGCCCTCCCGCTGCTGCCCTAGCAACCACATCCGGGACTCTGGCGGTGTGGTTGCCGGGGTAGTTTTCTGGCAGCGACCTAGTGTGCGCGCAGGTCCAGAGGCGCTGGCCAGAGCTGGGAGCTTGCGGAAGGGCGCTCCGGCCTGGTCTTGAGAGGTCAGACGTCTCCGGAAGCCCTCCGCATCCCTCTTTTTGATTCACACACTCCAGCCTTACACGTTAGGCGTCTTCCCATCAGACCGTGAGCCGGTGCCGGGAGGGTGGAGGTGGATGTAGCTCACCGCCACGCTACCGCAGAAGAGCCAAAGCTGCTTTCTCAGACACCGGAGAGCACGAAGAAGGTTATTCCAGTCCCGCGGGGAGGGTGGGGTGGTGGAGAGGATGAGAGGATAAGGGAGCAGACGGAATGCGGGCGCTCCCTCCCCCTGCCCCCGCGCCTGGGGAGCCCTCTCCCTTCAGAAAGGCTAGACCCCCGTTCGCTGAGCTCTTACTTGCTCTGGATTTAAGATCGCTTTTTGCTTTGTTCACTCTCTCACAGTAGATTCCCTGACACTTTTCTTTCCTGCTCCTCTTTCTTCTTCTAGATGACCAAGCTCTGCTTTCTTTGCTTGCCCGATTACTTCTTAAATAGATCATTGTCCTGACACGGAAACTGCTGAACAATTCCCTCTCTCAGAGCCTTTCGTAGTTTCCTAAATGGGGCCCCAACCTGCACTACTCTCCCCATCCCCAGCGCTGAGTGGTGGGAAAGCGTGGCTCCTCCGTGGTGCTAGGCAGACCTGAAGTTCATTTACATACAGTACAGTACAGTTGGTCCATCCACAGTATATCCCTTCGAACTGCTGGACTGCTTTTCCTTTGACAGCTGCTCGTTTTACTCCCATTTCGCTGGTAGAAATGTGAAGGGTAACTGTGCACATGGTGAGATTTACCCTTCTTTAGACCGTACTTCTCTGCTGCCTTTACTTGTCACAGTAGCTGACAAGGTATTTTTAATGACTGATACCTAAAGGCAGAGCTCTACCTCTACAGATTTCCAGGGAGTTTCAGTGTAGTGAAATATCCCTGGCAGGTGTTTTCCCCAGATCTGTGAATAGTAAATACCTATGGCACCATAAATGTTTCCAAAGTAAATAACAATATTGATTGAGCTCTCCAGAATACCACCTCTTACAAAAACAGCACTGAAATTCCAAAACATAAATCTCTCATCTTAAGTAGTTCTGTCTTTAACGAAAGAAAGGAGCAAATATATATGCCAACCCACTCAAACTGTAACTTCAGTTCTTATAGCTTACTGTGAATTTTTCTGTACAAAGCTGTCTTGGTTTGGAGACCACTAGTCTTCTCAATTATAAGAAAAGAATCCCAATCTAAATTCATTACTGCTGTAATTGTTTAGGAACAGAGCGGCTACAGAACTTGCAGCTAAGTACAGGTGTTATTCCTAGGGTTTCAAAAGGGTGACTTGGAAGGGCATGGTCCGGTACAGCAGTGCTTAAATGATGTGGACAATGAGTACTGAACTGTTTGAACTGGCTGTTGTCTTAAGGATTCCTGCTAGCTGTCTTTTGAGTTTGTGGATGCTTACCTTCACTAAAGTTAGTCTAATTGTTAGACTGTTAGAGGTGTTTCTTATTTTGCAAAAGTGAAGACTTGCTTTAGTTTGTCTTTAGCTGGATAGTTTCCTTGACAGCTGAAGATTTTGTTGGAGATTCCAATGGACTTGGAACTAATGCTAACTTCTGTTTGGTGCAGATACTAACCAAGTTAGATACTCTTCAGTGAGATTCAGGTACTGTGTATGATTAATCATCATCCACAGTATTACACTGTGCAAGGCTATATATACACGGGATTAATCTTTCCATGATTTCTGCTGTCCCAAAGGAAATTAGAGTGTAGTCTGGTTCCAAGAAAACACTGGAAGCTACTTCAACTGGTGATGGAAAATAGTGGAATTCTATACATCCTTTGGGACAAAGGAAGCAGCAACCATTGTTCTTTGGATTGGGAAATATTTTGGGTACTAATTGAAAAACATTATTTTAAGC